GCCACTCCAACAGAATCCATAACAGATGTTCTCAAAAGTCAACTTGGATCATTGCAATTAGACTTGCATGTTTTCCTGCATTTCCCATTTAGGGATAAAACCCAGAACCATTGATTATAGTTGGGAAGAAACCATAAATCCATCATTTGGGTAAAATGAAAGTCAGCATGTTGAGCTGCATTCTAGAATTTTACTTAAGCTTGACATTTGTCGTCAATAGTTGTGTTTATACAATTTTTAATTTAAGAATAATGGCTTTTTTAATTTCTTTTTTCTGATTGTATCAATATTATCAACAGATATTTTTAATAAAAGTATCCCCTTTCATTCAGATTTTAAATTTTATAGTCAAATAGTTGTTTAAGAGTCTCTTATGTATGTTGTTTGCATATTATGCTTTGAAAAATAGCTATTTAGTTCCACTGCCCATTGGATTATTTATTTTGCTCTGAAGTGATATATTGTGGTTACTAATCTTGTCAGATGCATGGCTTGCAAATATTTTCTCCCATTCTGTAACTTTTTTCTTCATTCTGTGATTATTTCCTTGAAGAAGCTTTTTAGTTATATGTAACTCTATTTGTTTTTCTTCAGTTTTCTATACTTTTGAGGACTAATCCAAAAAACCCTTGCCTGTTTCAATATCCTGAAGCATTTGCATGTTTTATTCTAGTAGTTTCATTGTTTACCTACTTGGTGAAAGACAGGGGTCTGGTTTCATTATTCTGTATGTGGAAGACACATAAATGACCAACAGTACATGAAAAAAAAATGTTCATCATGACTAATCATCAGGAAAATGCAAATCAACACCTCAATGAGATGTCACCTTACTCCAGTGATATTGGCAACTATCTCAAAAATAATAATAACTCTTAGTGAGGATGTAGAGAAAAGGGAATTTTTGGTAGGAATGTAAATTAGTAGAGCCATTGTGGGAAACAATTAAACTAAAAATGGAGTGATCATATGATCCAGCAATCTCACTAATGGTACGTATCCAAAGGAAATGAAAAGAGTATGTTGAAGAGATAGCTAAAATCCTGTATTTATTGCAGACTATCTATAATATGGAAATTTACAGTACTATTTACAAGTGGAAACAATTTAAGTGCCCATAAACTGTTGAATGGGATAAATAATTTAAATGTACATAATGAAATACTATTCAGTCATAGAAATGGATAAAATCTTATCCTTTGCAACACTACAGATGGAACTGAAGGTTGCTATTTTAAGAGAAATAAGCACAGAAAGAATAGTACTGCATAATCTAATATGTGGGATGTAAAAATGTTGATCTCATAGAAATTGAAATTGGAAGGGTGGTATCAGGGGTTGGGGACAGAAGGATGTGTAGTGGGAGAGTTTGATTAACAAGAACTTACACTTAGATGGAATAAGTAGTTCTTGTAATGCATTGCACAGTAGAATGACTATATATAACAATAATATTCTGTATAATTTTCTTCAAAAAAGGCATGAGAAAGGATTTTGAAAATTTTCAGCAAAAATAAAGATTTTTTAAAGCACATTTAGTTTTTTTTTTTTTTAAGATTTTATTTATTTGAGAGGTAGAGTTACAGATGGTAAGAGGGAGAGACAGAGAGAAAGGTCTTCCATCCACTGGTTCATTCCCCAAATGGCCGCAACAGCCAGAGCAATCTGAAGCCAGGAGCCAGGAGCTTCTTCTTGGTCTCCCATACAGGTGCTGGGGCCGGGCCCAAGCTCTTGGGACATCTTCTACTGCTATCCCAGGCCATAGCAGTGAGCTAGACTGGAAGAGAAGCAGATGGGACTAGAACAGGTGTCCATATGAGATGCCAGTGCCACAGGTGGAGGATTAACCTATACTGCGTCACAGTGCTGGCCCCAGAGAAATGTTTAAAGGGATATATATGATTACTCTGATTTAGACATCACACAGTATATACATGGATCAAAACATCATATGGGGCCGGCGCCGTGGCTCACTAGGCTAATCCTCCGCCTTGCGGCGCCAGCACACCAGGTTCTAGTCCAGGTCGGGGCGCTGGATTCTGTCCCGGTTGCCCCTCTTCCAGGCCAGCTCTCTGCTGTGGCCAGGGAGTGCAGTGGAGGATGGCCCAGGTCCTTGGGCCCTGCACCCCATGGGAGACCAGGAGAAGCACCTGGCTCCTGCCATCGGATCAGCGCGGTGTGCTGGCTGCAGCACGCTGGCCGCGGCGGCCATTGGAGTGTGAACCAACGGCAAAGGAAGACCTTTCTCTCTGTCTCTGTCTCCCACTATCCACTCTGCCTGTCAAAAATAAAATAAATAAATAAATAAAAATCATATGGGACCCCATAAATATGTACAATTATGACAGTTAAAAATTTAAGAAAGAAGTCTTTTAAGATATATTAAAACATGCATGTAGTTTGTTCCTTTTTAACTTTTAATGATAAGTATTTTTAAATGTGTTTATTAATTGTGGATGAAAACTTTTCAAATTAGCATCTGGTATTATCTCTATTCTCTGCTTTATATTTTATTTATGGTGTCATCTAATTTCCCCTCTTTGTGTCTTTGAGTTTATTTTATTCTTTTTTAGCTGCCTAATTTAAATGCCCTGTCTCTCTCTCTTGCTCTCATTTATATGATTAAATATTTGTACCTATATGTGAATAAATACATACATATATATGATTAAAATGTTGTATAACTTAAACGCATATACTCATATCACACTCCACAAGATTTGATAGGTAATGTCTTCATTGTTTAAAATATTTTATATTTTTCTTTTTAGTTTAATCTTTAGCTCATGAATTATTTACAATAGTATTTTTAATTTCCCAATAATTGATTTTTTCATTGTTGTTAATTTTTAATTTTATTGCCCATTATCTGAACCACTGTTCTTTACTTTTGTTCATATAGTACTCTTTAGAAATTGTTGAAGTTTTTTTTTTCGCTTATATATTAGATAAGTTAATAGTAGTTCTTTTTTTTTTTTTTTTTTTTTTTTTTTTTTTTTTTGACAGGCAGAGTGGACAGTGAGAGAGAGAGAGACAGAGAGAAAGGTCTTCCTTTGCCGTTGGTTCACCCTCCAATGGCCGCCGCGGCCAACGCGCTGCGGCCAGTGCACCGCGCTGATCCGATGGCAGGAGCCAGGTACTTATCCTGGTCTCCCATGTGGGTGCAGGGCCCAAGGACCTGGGCCATCCTCCACTGCACTCCCTGGCCACAGCAGAGAACTGGCCTGGAAGAGGGGCAAGCGGGACGGAATCCGGCGCCCCGACTGGGACTAGAACCTGGTGTGCCCGCGCCGCAAGGCGAAGGATTAGCCTAGTGAGCTGCAGCGCCGGCTTAATAGTAGTTCTAAAAAAGGAATGGGGAACCATATTTCTGCCAAGTTATATTTGGCTACTTATAACATCATTCATTTACCATACAAAATTATCAACTAAAACATTACCCTGCTTTACATAATTGAATTTTGAGTCCTGCCTGAGGCTGCCGTGGCAAAAACAAACCAAATGGTTTCCCAAGACTTACCTATCCTACAGGCTGGATGTTCTCCACCCTTGCTCTAACATCTCAGAACCTTTATGAAATAAATCTTTATTCTTATGCACATGAATTCTAAAACAAATGCTCCAAATAAGAAGCATCTTTAATCTGCTATTATGTCCCTGTATATTTCACTACTAGATAAGGAAAAAAGAGACTGGAGGATTATCCCTTAATTTTATATGTACAAGTCTTTTTATGTGTACATCACTTGCACATATATTACTTTGGTCATTAGTTATATGTTCCATTTTAAGGGAGACTGAGAAATGTTTCTAAATTTCCATGGGGAATAGGATTTGGTTAGGAAAAAAGTCAGCTAGTATCTGTGGAGTCACATACATTTTCAATGTTTTTACATGCTCCATCTGCACTAGAGGTGAATTCATTAGTTGGGTACAGGTTTTAATACATCAAATAAGACATTCTCAAAACGACAAACATATTTTCTCTGATATGTGGCAGTTAATATAGAATACAAAAAATGTTTAAGGTTGTTCCTTATGTTCTACATATCTCTAACCTTGTTGTTTTTTCTGTACATGTATCAGATTCTAAGAGCTTGCATTAAACTTTAACATCTTGATTGTGAAAATTCTGTCAGTTTCTCCCCTACTTTTAATTTCAAGACTATGTTGTTAGACTCATACAATTTTGTTGTTATATATACTGGGCTATTTGTTACTTTTATTATCATGTTATTCGTTAGCCTTATTAACGATCTTTGGCTTAAATTCTTTTATACATTATTTGCCTCTTTTCCCTCATTACTTGCTTCTATTTAATAAATGGAATTTTATTTATCACCTCCTTCTCCCATGTAAAATTTAGATGCTGTATATTCAATTTGGATCTTTAAGAGCCACATTCTAGTATATCATAACAAAGTATAAAGCTATCTCATGTATGTGTATGATGAAAACCTTGGCAACTATGTCTTTTATATAAATCTCTTCATTCTTTTTTGATTCACTTTCAGTATATTCTTTTTTAGCAAAAGTATTTAATTCTCATTTCTTTTTGACACATACCTTGTTTTACTTTATGGTCAATATTTAATTAATCTCCTAATATATGTTAATATTTTCTTGTTGCAGTTTTCCTTCTTAGATCCTTTTCCCTGTTACTAAATTGTGGTGCTTTAGCTTCTGAATTAAGTTTTCAGAGTAGAAAGCCCATGAATTTTATTGCTAACCAGGAGTGTGTTTTATTCCTAGTTTTGTCATATGCTAGTTGTTTAATCAAGAATATGTTAAGAAAAAAATCCCACAATTATCTTCTGTCAACCTGTCATATCCATGCGTATAAACCTACAGATTTTAGTACCAATCAGATCACTTGATAAGCATAGGTCAGGCCACCAAAGTGTGTCATAGCCTAGGATGGTAACTGTGTGTTTTGGAGTTGAAGGTATTTTCTGTGTCTTCATTCCTAAAACAGAGATAATGTCAAAATTACTCACAAGGTTCTTGTGAGAATTAAAGTAGATAATAGATATAAAGTACTATTTATATCATATAAAAAGTGTATAATGGAAAACAAAACTTAAAAATAACATCCAGCTTGGTCTTGGAACAAAGGTTTAGGGGGACATGACTGGGACAAACCTTAGCTACCTAAGATTAATATTTTGGAGTTTTTTATCAATATTAAAGATTTATTTATCTGAAAGGCAGAGTGACATAGAGTGAGGAAAAGAGATCTTCCACATAACCGTTCACTCCCTAATGGCCACAACAGCTAGGACTGGGTTAGGCTGAAGTCAGGAGCAATGAATTACATTTGGATCCCCTGCGTGAGTGTTGAGGGCCCAAACACTTCAGCCATGATCTGCTGCCTTCCCAAATGCATTAGCAGGGAGCTGGATGGGAAGTGGAAAAGCCAGGACTTGAAATGACACATAGATAGGGGCCACTCTGTGTTGTAGCAGGTAAAGCCACTGCCTACAGAACTGCATCCCATATGGGTCCCACTTCAAGTCCTGGCTGCTCCATTTCTGATGCAGCTTCCTGCTAATGTGTCTGGGAAAGTAGTAGAAGATATCCTTATTGCTTGGGCCCTGTACCTACAGGGGAGACCCAGTAGAAGCCCCTGGATCCTGGCTTTGATTTGGCCCTGCTCTGGCCATTGCAACCATTTGGAGACTGAACCAGTGGATGGAAGATCTTTCTCCTTCTCTGCCTTTGTCTCTCTGTAACTCTGCCTTTCAAATAACTAAATCATTTTTAAAAATTAAAAGAAATGACACATAGATGTGGAATGCCAATTAAGCCTCAGTTTGCTGCATCAAAATGCCACCCTTTGACTTTTTTTCATTAGGATATACCTGTATGGTATGATGATTAGTTTAATGTTATATTAAGGAGGATTTATGTATTGTAGCTGATGAACATGGAAACAGTAACGAAACAATGACAGAAATAAAAAGTAGCCTTAGAAATGTAAAGGTTGTCCTAATTTACCCATTAATAAGAGTTACTAACAAAACATTCTTTATTGTCAGCCAACATATCATTTTATGTGCATTATAAAATATCAATATTCCTTCCTTACATCTCAAGGTAAATCCTTTGCCCTCTCACTGTTTCCATTGCCTCTGGATATCAATAAGGATCTTCACTAGAGAAACTAAGTTCTATTTCAGTTTTAAAACATTATTACTTTATGACCAACAAAGAGCTTAGTTCCCGGTTTCCTGCTCTGAGTCAATGCTTAAGAGAATCATGAAAGACCTCCAGTCTGTGTCTATGTATTTATTTTCTGGGTTGAGAATCTGTTTTCTCCTCTTTTTTATCTTCCATTCCTATTAATTCTTCAAGTTTCTTCTCCAAGTATTTCTTTAGTGTATTTCGTATTCTTTTCATCCTCCTCCGATGAATGACACAAATATGGAATCTAGCATAGAGAAAGAAGATAATCCCAATTTCAATATCAGTGGCCCCAATCTTCACAATAATTGTTTAATATTTTCCCTCTTCATGTGTATCTCCCCTCCATTTCCTTCTATTCCAACTACTATCCCATCAAACTTCCATCTGTTTCATTCCTGTCAGTCTGATATCCAGAATTTTGAAATGACTTTCCCTTTATTTTCATTGAGAGAAGAGAAATTTGGGTGGTCTCCTTGCTAAAGGAATGCTTGATTCAGTGTGTATTTGGAGGGAGGAAAACTCACAGTAACACAGCACTTGCCAATATTCCAGTTTCTGTCAGCAATATTAGAAACAGTCCAATCTCTCGACTCTCAGCCTTTTTTGGGTCATCCTCTGTAAGGAGAAAGGAGAAAAAGTTGTTTGTAGAAGAGAAATAGTAACTTGGATCTAAATCTAGAATAAGAGACTCTTTTAACCTCAGTTTTTTCTATTATTACTTATTCACTCTTCCTTGGTTATTTTGACCTGGTTATAATTAGACCCTTAGATTCTGCAAAACTTTTCCTCTGTCATTAACCTAATTTCTCTGTCTCTAATCCAGCTTGTGCATTTCAGTCCTTTTCTGGCCTGGCTCAGTTATTCATCTTGTTACAATTCTACCTAACATTTTAGTTCTTATTTTGAAACATTGCAATCTGCCTAGTAGGTTTTTCACAAATACTTGTTGGATAAATTAGTGAAGAACCCAGGTCCTTGATCCCTAGCACTTAGACAGCTACATTGCAATTTTTATTACCTCCACAATATTCTCCTTTGAAGCACCGGGTGGTGATGCGAAGGCATGTCCAACAATCAAGGATGGGACCTTCAGTCACGACTGATAAAAAGGGGAAGAATGATCATCAGAAGGGGTCATGGCAAAGGACTTCTTCCTTATCTCAGACATCAAGTATGTTTTAGATCTCAGGGATTTCCAGGACTCCCAAGCTTGCCCTACTGTGAATTCCTTCTTCGCGTAGCAATCTTAATAGGTCAGAACCTGCAATGTAAGCCAGCACTGTGGGGAAGAAATAGGAAAAATGATGCCTTAGCATGAATTGCAGCCATGGCCTGTCAGCTGAATTTGAGGAGCTCCTGAACATATCCGGAATGTGCATGTCTGCTAGATTTTGTCCTCAGATTCAAGTATTATTGGCATTTCCCTGTAACCCCAGGTCTAGGAACTGGATTCTCAGTGTGTTAGATGGGAGAGATAGGACCACACAGAACAAAGGAGATGGGAAAATGTGGCTTGAAACCTCAAGGCATCACAGGTACTGTACTCACTGCAATCTTCAGAACAAGCTGAAAGAGAATCAGAAAGTTCAAATGAGTACACAACCGGCTTAGAGTTTACCATCCTCATGCCCACGTAGTCTTTGTTTACTCATTAACTTTTAGCTATTCCTTTACCCATTCTAAATGACTCTAACAGGAACCCTCATGCTCCTCCCATCCCACATTTTCTATCCCTTTAAAATAACTTCAGTGTTGTTAGAAATTTTTAATTACCAACTTCAGAGAAGCTCTTTAGTATTTCATTCAATTTGGAGTCCAGGTTTTGACGGACCTCAAGAAGCTTTCCTTGAATAATAAAGACACCTAAGAGGGGATGAAGGGATGTCAGACAATGGGCGTGGCCCTCCTCTTTCAGTTTAAATTCTAATTGTTTTGCCTTGTTTTCTCTATCTAGATTTCCTCAGACTTACTTGGTTAATACAAACTTTCAACATTGAATTGATACCTCACCTTTCCATGTTTCATTGCCCAGCTTATAAAATTCATTCTTCAACCACATTCTCAACTTGACAACCTTTTGAACAGCTAGAGAGGAAAGGGAAAGGTACTTGTAGAGAAATAATTACGTCTGCAGGAAATTGGATGGAATCAGGTGTTTTCTTCCCTACCTCCCTTCTCCCTTTAATCTCCAAACTCTGAGGGACCCAAGCTTCCCTCACCCAACACCCGAAGAATCTTGTTCTTGTGGGAGACCTTGAAGCTTAAATGCATCATCTCCTTAAACTGCCGTTCAATCAGTTCAGTTCGGCCAGGGACTTCTGAGGGTATCAGCTTTGCCAATAAGGCCTTAATATCCTCTATGAATTTGGGGTCACACTCCAAACAGCCTTTGGCCCCATGGAAGCCCCCCAGGGACAAAGGCAGGAGCAAGAGTAACCACAGGTCACCCATTTCCTTGCCCCCCTTGGGGTGGGGGGGACCAACAGCAGGTTGTCTTGGAAACTAGTTCACTTAGTTCCTTATCCTTCAAAAATTCAGGAATGAGAGCCTGGTCCTGGATAGTCGAACTGCACCTTTCCTTCTGTTTCCATCCCCATCTTAGGCATTCTCATTTCCTCAAGCATCTTCAGCTGTTTTTTGACTTTTATCCTTCATTCCAGAGAGGGCAACTGCCAGCTGGGGAGCTAATACCTGAGTTCTGAGTGTAGAACACCAAGAGGGAGAGAAATCTTGCGCTCACATGAGCAGAGTTCTGTGCTGGGAGATGCTTCCAATAACATGTTTCCTCAGCTTTTTTCCCCTATTTGTGTCCCTGGTTCACTCCCACACCCCACTTGATTGTTGGAACAGTTTATCTATGCAGAGAGGAATGGTGGAAAACATCTCTTGGGACCTTAAAAATTGTTTAACCCAGATTCTACTTCTGTAGAGGAGGTAAGAAAAGCTAGAATATTGAACTGCTTGGAGCCCCCATTGCCACTCATAGCAGTATTGTTAAATTAAGGTATGGACATTTATATATAAGTGCTCTAATTTCTGATGTAATTGGTGATTTTTTAAAAAGATTTATTTATTTTTTAAAGATGTATTTATTTATTATTTGAAAGGCAGAGTTACAGAGAGACAGAGGCAGAGAGAGAGAGAGAGAGAGAGAGAGAGAGTCTTCCATCCACTGGTTCACTCCCCAAATGGGAGCTGGAAGTAGGCCAATCTGAAGCCAGGAGCCAAGAGCTTCTTCCAGGTCTCCCATGCAGTGCTCTTTTTAGAAGAAAGCAAAGCTGTGCTGCAGACTTTTAAGAGCTCTATCTCTTTTCTAAAAAAATTACTGATAGATAGCTCGAATATGATACTTCTCTCCCTAAATGCCTTTGATGACTTTTGGCTGAAGCCATAGCCAGAACCAGGGTCAAGGAAGGCAATCAGGGTTTCCCACATGGGCAGTGGGAGGAGCATGAGGGTTCCTGTTAGATATCACCTGTCAGATATCACCACTGCCTCCCAGGGTTGTGCATTAGCAGGAAGCTGGAGTCAGGAGTGGAATTGGGGACTGAACACAGGCACTCTAATATGGGACACAGCTATCTTAACTGCCAGGCCAAACTTTTCTAATGGGAAAGGTCATCAGGAAGTTCTTGGAAAATGTCTGTTATGAAAAAACCGTACGTGAATTTGAAAACTTTCTGTGGCAAAACAAACTTTTTAATTCTACATTTCCATGAATTTTGCAAAATACTTTCATTTGTTACTTGTATTATTTGTATGGTTGTGACCTTTGGGAGACAAGGAAACCCTGCTACCATAAAGGTTTAGTGGTAGAATTTAGACTTAATATATGAAATTGTCATGGAATTGACAGTTGTGAAGGAAATTATATGGCTACCATGTGACATATTTTGCTCAAATCAAGAACTCACAGCCCAGCAATACTTTGAGAGATTGCCAACTCTGTTTTACAGATAAGAAACTCAGGCTTAGAAATGAAAGAACCTCCCTGGCAAAATAATTGAGTAGTTATGGGCTCAGATCTGATTCTATACATACTTCATTGCCTTTCAACAACCATGTTGGGATAACACAGAAAATTATCTTGAGATTTGGCAAATCAGGAGATGAGGGGCCTGTTCATATTATTTTGATAATCCATGAATTGTGACTTAAAACTGACATCTCTCCACATTGACTTTCATGTTCTTTTGACTGGGTAAATCCCATTTTTAGAGGATTCCCAAAAAGGATTTTCACATGCTGTGGTCTGAAGGCAAGTGAGCTAATGGGATTAAATTATTTTTAGAAACCAAAGTCAAGAGTCTAAGGGGACCAAGAAACATGGCTGGCCTATCGCCTAGTATAAGAACAAACTGTTTTTCAGGAGAGTTATTTGTTATAGGTATTTTTCAGTCAGTGATAGATACTTTACTTTTGGCAGCTTAAAGATAATCCTCTGCCATATTGCTGAATAATTCTACCTTATTTCATGGCACATTATCCCTACCTGGACCCAGTGGCCCATCCACCATTTTTTTTTTCTTTGCCTTGTCCTTCCTGCTTAATTTGCTAGCCAGATTTTTAGAGTGTGACAAAAAATAGTTAGGCTTTTGGATACTCCAAAAATGTTGGAAAAAGGCAAGCCACTTCCTAAATAAATTGAGTAGGGCTTGTACTTGAAGAGAACCTATTACAGGGACAACAGTGAGGAGGATTTCTCTCTCCTGTAATGAAGACAGTGTGCTAATGATAATGGCAGGGGTACACACAGGGGTCTCTGGAAAGACAGGACATTGTTAACCATGTCGGCACAAACGTCTTATAGAGAGGCTGCATACAAGGACTAGACATAACAATGAATGTGTATGGTATTGTATGAAAACCCAGTCATGTTCAGGAAACTTTTGTGGGACATTCTGAAAGACTTTAATATTAAACAAAAAGCACAGTTATCATGCACTATTTCTTAGAATTTCGTAAATGTGAAGAAATATGAGTTTTAGAAAAGATGTCTGGAAGTTAAATGATAACCTTACTTATAGTACTAATACTTGTCTATCAAGGAAAGCCTAAATCCAGATTGATTAGGCTAATATCTGGTTTGGACTGACATGGATGGGATATGATTTACAGTTTGTACAAATTTTAGAGCAGCCAGCTGCACTCTGTTTGGAAGCAGAAGATATGTGTCACAATCTACTATCAGATTAGGGGCCCAGAAGGGAGAACTTATTAGATATGTTAGAAATACTGAGGGGACATGAATTTTCCCCCTGTTTCCATTAGGGCTTTGAAGGCTGCACCAGGTACCCATATGTGGCGAAGGGATAATATGACAAGATCAGTAGGACATGATGATGGTCCCGAGATGATGTCCGTTTCCAGGTAGCGTGATAGGACCAGGATTATGCCACTAGCTGCTTGGGAATGTTGTGCAGGTGAATCTATAGTCTGACTGGATAACTTGCAAGGTAGAGGGACCACGCACGAGAACTAGAGAATGGAACACTGCACAGGGAAGGACACTGAAAGGATAGACCACCAGGCCCTGATGGGACTGAGCAACAATAGGCCCAAAGTGTCTCATATGCAGTGTTTCCCAGCAGGAAGATTCAGAGGCGGAACACTACCCATCTGTTTTTGTTTTCGTTTTTTTTTGTTTGTTTGTTTCACATTAATTGTTTTTGTTTGTTTTACATTGGCACTGTGTCAGACAAATAAAAGAACCATTAAAGTTAAAAAAAATAGGATACCAAGAACACACAAAAAATTCACCATGCCATTTACTGTGGAGAAAAAAAGAATCATACATTTTTAACTTTCTCTCTAGAGAATTCCTGGTTCCTGGTAGTTGTTACGCTTAACCAGTATTTTAGCTTAGTAGCTAGGATAGATTGAGGCCACAGTTATACTTTTAAAAAACAAGCCTGAATTTCAGTGATTAAGAAGTTGTTTCAATGAGGTGCTAAAGAGGTCTAGCATCCCAGAGTTACTCCAAGTTTGATATTTCTTACTAGTTTCAGGAGGATAGAGCTAGTCGGGATAAAAATGTGATGGTTTGGGCTGGCGCCGTGGCTCACTAGGCTAATCCTCCACCTGCAGCGTTGGCACTCCAGGTTCTCGTCCCGGTTACTCTTCTTCCAGTCCAGCTCTTTGCTGTGGCCCAGGAGGGCAGAGGAGGATGGACCAAGTGCTTGGGCCCTGCACCCGCATGGGAGACCAGGAGGAAGCACCTGGCTCCTGGATTCGGATCAGTGCAGTGTACCAGCCGCAGCGCACCGGCCTTAGTGGCCATTTGGGGGATGAACCAATGGAAGGAAGACCTTTCTCTCTGTCTCTCTCTTACTAACTCTGCCTGTCCAAAAAAATAAAAATGTAATGGTTTGATAACTCCTAGACAAACACTGCTGTTAGTGAAAAAGTTTCCTCTAGGTGCTATACATTCTTGTCACCCTTTTAACCCCACGGTACTAGATTACCTAAACTTGTAATCACTCTTTTCCTACATCAATTTTGAAAAGAGCAGAGAAGGAATTGTGAGAAAATAAAGTTTTCAAAGAATTATAGTTACCTAAACAATGAGTTTAAATTATTTGGAGAGATTAGCTTTATCATTTTGTGCTAATATTTCTGTTTCTTCTCCCAAATGTGGGAAGAAGAAAATTTTCAGAGACAGCCGAGAGCAATTAGAAACTCTGAAAAAGAAGCTTCTCTTTTGTGTATCTCTAACCAACATTAAAAACTATTTGACCTTGCAACTTAAATACCAAAATATGGAGAAGTCAAACCAAAGGTAGATTACCTATCCATTTCATAAAATACAAACCTGGTGTTCAGACATTAAGGGATTTCTAGAAGGTTGTACCGCAAATTTATCTGCCTTCAATTTTGTGCTCTTTCCAAAATACCAAAATGTTTCCTGAATGGACTTAGTCTAAAGTGCCATGATAATTACCTCAAATTAGCAAAGAGAAGGACTCTCAAGGAAAAAATAATTGCAAAGAAAAAGTTTTTTTTCCCAATTTTCCCCTAGTTTTCCAAAATGAATGGATTCTTTATCTTTCAATATTTCTTTCCATACTGAATTCAGTTCCCCCATTCCCAATTACTTGTATAGAAGATTTGAAGAATAATTATAAGGCTGTTTTTTAAAGTTTATTTATCTGAAAGAGTTACAGATACACACACACACACAGAGAGAGAGAGAGAGAGAGAGAGAGAGAGAGATATCTTCTATCCTCTGATTGACTCCCCAAATGGCCACAACAGTTGGAGCTGTGTAAGACCCAAGCAGGGCCCAGGAGCTTTTCCTAGTTTCCCACAGGGGTGGCAGAGGCCCAAGAATTTGGGCCAACTTCGGCTGCTTTCCCAGGTGCATTAGCAGGGAGCTGGATCAGAAATGGAGCAGCCAGGGATCGAACTGGTGCCAATGTGGGATACCAGTACTGCAAGCAGAGGCTGAACCTGCTAAGCCACAGCATCGGCCCTCTACAAGAACTTTAACAGTACATAGAAAATATATGTTATGAAAAACTTGTACATAGATTTTAGGTTTTTACACCAACAAATTTACCTT